GAAAAGGTCAGTAGGTTCAGTAGAAGGGACAAAGGGACGTGCCAACGAGCTAAACCTGTTCTTCAATAGGTTTGACTCACAAACCCCCTCCACCACAGCACAGAAGGATCAACGAGGAGGCAGGCAAGTCGATGGGCAGTCCAGCCAGTTGCGCGATTCCTAATAAGGAAAGCAGCTTGTGTGAGTGTTTGTGTAATGTTGTCAGATTGAGTACACATGTGATGTATGTAAGTCCTCCTTCACTGGCTTCAGGCTGTTGTGCTGCTTCACTGCTTTTAATGCAAAACAAAAAACTGCTGTGTGTTACTTCATTTCCAAACAAACACTGACACACATGCAAACAGTGCAAACAGAAAGCAGTCATCTTCCAATCATACACTCCTGCTAGGGACTGCAAAGCATGCAACACTGTCTACACTGTGTGTTTGCATCTCAGTATATTCAATTCCAAATTGTATCCTAGGTGCATTTATTATGGGGAGATTTCTATTATCAAATATACTCTATGTATGAATAGGCTTGCATAACACAGAAATGCAAAATCAACTGCAGCAGTGCATACACTTGTTAAATCCATCAGGCCATGCACTGGATTCACACTGGACCACATTAAGAGATAATGATGCCATTATGATAACCCAGGCTGTCCCCTAGATTTAACTCTTGTTTGCTACTCATTGTCACATCAGTTCAGCCAAATATTACAAATTCAGATCTGTTCATGCATCCCTCCATCCATTTCTACATACGCTCATGAATTCTAAGGTGCTGAAAATAAATAAATAAATTCCCACTCAGATTGAAATGCAAACAGTGCCCTCTAGTGGAGCAAAGCTGAACTTTAATCTGTTTCCTACTGACATTACACTGTCATCAGACCACAGACACACTTTCACATAAAGCAAAAAAGACACCAGCCCTTCCAGTAGAGAAAACGTGATGAAGAGCCCTCTAGTTGTTTCACCATAAATTCACCACAACTTTTTGTTTGCTTGTCCCGAAAAGTACTTATACCAAACTGTGGAAATACTCCACAAGTAAAAAGTCTGGCATTCACAACCTTAAACTGTAAAAACACGTATTAAGTATAATCATCAAAATGAGGGACGGCTGTGGCTCAGAGGTAGAGTGCATCATCCACTAATCGAAAGGAAGGTTGTTGACTCGATCCCCAGCTCCTCCCTGCCACATGTTGAAGTATCCTTGAGAAACATACTTTTTTGCATCTGCATTTTTAAACAAAGTGTGTTTCAGTCTACACGGCCGATAGCACTCAAGACCAGTGTGTGTTAACCTTGACAATTTTAATTATTTCTAATGATGAGGTCAAAGTTCTTTGGTCCGTAACAAGGCTCTTTTTTCTATAGCACACAGAGATTAATGGTCCCCAGTGGATAAATCCTAATGGTTTTGGTGACTTTTCATCGAGTACCATCATTAGAACATCAACATCTTAACATTTCTTAAATGTAAATAAACTTGGGGAATTTCCTTGCTACTTTTCATTTACAATCTTTGCCTTTTCTTGATTTGAGTATGGCATATATCACTTAAGGGAGATTTGTTTGCTGATGTGACATTATCACGGTGAATTGTTGTAGTTCATTAACTCATCAGTGCCCCAGTGTCAATCAAAATACAGTGCCAAAAAGCAATTTACTGTCAGAGAACCAGCAGTTATTGGACAGTAATGTGCACAACAGAACATACTTTATACTTTGATGTAAGTGTAAACCATAATTAAGATTGCAATTGCCTGGATGAGCACTCAAAGCCAGAAGTGGAGTAACTAACAGTAGTTAGAGTGGAGTGTGGGTGAATCTAACCATATCTGCAGCTAAAGGTTGAAATCTGTTGAGCATATTTTATAATATGAGTAGCAAAGCCATGTTAAATAGCCTAAGCAGTGATGTCATGTGCCTGCGCGCACAGGGATGTTGTTGTGAGCATGCGCAGAATAAACGGTCTGTGTGTTAGTTCTCAGACCAAAGAGAAGATGGCGATCTGTGCTTTTTCTCCCGTGAATATTAGCCATTAGCAGGTGCTAGATAACCACTGGTGACTGTGATAACGATAGACTGCTGCCGGAATGACTAACACTACAAAATCAGTGCAGCTTCCTTACTCACTTCTCTGGATGATAGTAATGACAATCACGATAATTATTCCTGCCTACATGCTGCAGCTCTGCTCTATGCCACAGAGCCTAAAAAAGAGCTATGTTTTATATTTTCAGCCCCCCTTTATTCATAATACACCAGGCAGCTTTTGATGGAGCTGCAGTGTTGTCGACTATTTTTAATGTAAAGCAGCTAAAGCCTGCAAGATGACATCAGACCTAGACTTCTCTTTATTGATCCTTT